TTTTTTTTTTTAAGATTTTATTTATTTGTTTGACAGAGAGAGACACAGTGAGAGAGGGAACACAAGCAGGGGGGGTGGGAGAGGGAGAAGCAGGCTTCCCACTGAGCAGGGAGCCCGATGCGGGGCCCGATATCCTAGAACCCTGGGATCATGACCTGAGCCGAAGGCAGACGCCTGATGAATGACTGAGCCACCTAGGCGCCCCTGGCCATATTTTTTTTGACTCCTTAGGTGAGACAGGAAGGTGAGAAGGAGCTGATGCTGGGTATTTCCCTCCCACAGGCCAGTTAGTATCTGGTAAAACTCACACTGGTTAGACTCTGGCAAAACAAATTTCCCTTGAAGGCGGGCCATTGTTAAGAAGAACAGAACACTGTGGGCGTATTTCAGAATGGCTACTCTCCCTTCCCCCTGACAAAAGCATGAGGGGATTTTTCTTTGATCTTCACTCTGAGAGCCTGGTGGGCTTCCTGGCAGAAAAACTCAGGAAAGTGTAGGGGTTCCTCTAGGAGTTTTAATCTCTCAAAATAGTCCAAACTCAGTCTCTAGCAACTAGTCAATTGCCTCTGAAGGATTCCTGCCTGATGTTGGCTCTAGCTGAGGTGTGATTCTGTAAATCTACCTGTCTGTCCCATTTTCAGGGCATCAGTTTGCCCCGTGACCTCAATTCTCTGGTATGTGTGTGTGTTTTATCTGCAGCATTATTGGGAGTTTATGTGCTGTGATCTACTCTAAGAGTTGTTCTCCCTTCATTGGCAGCTTTCAGGCCACTTTTATGTGAGATATATTTGTTCTTTGTGATATCATCATACTTGGGTTGCTTTCTGTTTTTGTTGCTTTTTAAAATTTAAAGATTTTGCTTTCGCTATATGGCTTGTATTTTTTTTTTTTTTTTTGCTTTGTTAAAGCTCATATATTAACTAGGGCATAAGCACATTTAAAAATACCATTCTAGTAAGTGAAAAGATAAAATATGGAGAAGATTTTTACAACACACAAAAAAGCCTAACTACTTTAATATAGAAGGAATCTTGTAAATCAGTAAGAAAAGGCCAGTGAGAGAGGTGAAAATGGGCAAGAGATATAAACAGATAGTTTACAGAAAATAAATACAAAGGCTCTTAGCATAAAAGATCCTCAATTCACTCATAGCAAAAACAATGAAAGTAAAAATCTAATCTGAGACTTCAATTTTCATCTCTCAGAATGGCAGAGATCAAAGTGTCTGTCAACGTGCTGTGCTGGACAGACTGTGCTAATCTGAGTCCTCTGAGGAGCAGATATCAGAACAGGATAAAATGCACAAGAATCTGTGTCCAGGGAAATGCCTACAAGAGGAGATGGGGACAAAGCCTGGCTGGACGTGCTTTAGGCTGCCATGCAGTCTCAGGAGGGTTCAGCAAGGCCACAAGGGCATCTGGAATCCATGATGGTCAGCAGCAGAGCCTGCATCTTCCAGGAATGGACCTGCTTGGTGTCCCTCTGTGCTCACACGGATTCTCTCCTTCAGCAAACTCCCCTCGGGCTCCTCTGAGCTCCTTCTTTAACTAGGCCTGACTTTTGGACTTCTGTGTTAACCTCTGCAGTGTCCAGTTTTAGAAGAACTCTGGTAAGTCAGTTTATCCAGATCCCCCTCCCTCTGATAGCTGATCATCCTCCATATCTGACTGGGGACCCCACCCAGATTATGTCTGATCGCCCTGTCTTCAGCAAAACAAAGGAGGAGTCTTGGAGAGTGGAAGGTGCTGTAACCTAGAAAGAGGAGCTCCAACTCCAGAGAGGGATACAAGGTCATTCCAGGATGACAGTGGATAGGAATGCCAGGCAACAGCTGCATGGTGCCCCGACAGCAAGCCTGCTGACCCGAGTGGGTCAGAAGGCTCCAGAAGATGAGCCTGATGGATATCTGATGTGACATTAGATTTATTTTCACCGGAGGAATGCTTAGGGATTAAACTGATGTAAGTACACGGAAAACCAAGCAAGCCAACAACAAACAAAAATCAAGGGTGTACAACAGTCGTACACGACATGCTTCAGCCACGCAGAACCTTCACTTAGCCATGTTAAAAAAAAAAAAGCAAATAAACCTGGAGGCCACCATTTGACTATGTCACCAAACACTCACAGTCACATAACTGAAATGCTGACTCTGACCTTAAAATTAAGCTTTCCCATGTCAGTGTGACTTTTCAGTTATGAACAGGTAATGAATGTACATCTCCGGTAACAAATCACACTAGAAAACAGTGTGCTTATTCCTGCTTTGTACACGGAGCCGTGACTACTGAGGTCTGGACTTCCGACCACTGTTCTCCAACTGTTCCCTCACTAGATAAAACATTCACATCAAGTAAAGCCCTTTGGATTTTCTTTTGGTGGTCTTAATAACGCAAATGCTGGATCTTGATCAAACTAAAATGGCACAGTCGGTACGATAACTGAATCAGGACCATGGTGAGGAAGAAGACAGGAGTGTCAATGATGGAAGATTGCTCACCTACCGAGTGGCCGGTCCACAGATAATGCCTAACACGGAAAACCAAGAAGTGTGAGCATGAGCCTGCTACGTGGAGACGGGGAAGGAAGGAAAGAGAGTCGGAAGGTGGCTGTCCCCAGGGAGGGCTGGTTGTGCAAAGGAAATGAGCAGCAGAAAACTGCTTGTCTTTCTACATAAACATATCTTTTCTTTATAAGATGATGAGATCGCCACAACCCAGCACTTTTTACTCCATGAGTTGATTACAACGAAACACAGTGCTAACCCAAGCGAGTCACTCTCCTTAGGTCTCTGCTCACGTTCACTCCTCTGTTCCTTTAACCTGCTTTTATTTGAGTCTCTCCTGCTTTATACCACACTGTATTCCAAAGACCATGTGGAATGCTGTTTGAGAGCAGGCAAGCTGCATTTGGGTCCCACATGTTCATAGAGTGAGCTGTCCCATTAGCTAACCGGGTTCAAGTTGGTCTGCCCAGCACATCCATGGACGCCAGTGGCTCTGCCACTGACTAGCTGTGTGCTGGGGCGCTAGTTACTGAATCTGTGAGTCCATTCCTTGTCTGCACGGTGGGGGTGACAAGTGGCACCCTCACAGGAAGTCACGTGAAGCTGACGTATACGTGCGTTAGTCTGCACTAGGTAAGCACGATGCTCTTGCTCTGGTCAGGGGAAGGCTTCGGGCATCGTGGAGCAGTGGAAATCCCAGGCTCTCGGGTCTGACTTGGAACGACCCCCCTTCTGGCGACATGATTCTGGATGAGCGTCCCCATCCTACTGTCCCCGCCCGCTCCCAGGTCTCCCTGCTTCTTTACCGTGGGATCCTGCTCGGGTTTCAAGCTGAATCCCCACCTTGTCTCATCCACGGACCTCACTGACAATCCCAGCCAAGGGTACACTCACCTCTCAAACTGCACGGCCCCACACAAGATTACCATTTGGCATTCACCACGGATGCCGGAAAATCTGTTTGCTTTCTCCAGGTGTTACAGTTCTTGGTGGCGAAGGGAATGATGTGGCCACCTGGGAGACACGTGACAGTGTCCAGAGACACGTGTGGCTGTCACATCTGGATGGGGTGGCCCGTGGTATCCAGCAGGAGGACGCCAGGATGCTGCCACCCCCGCACTGTCCAGCATACCCCCACGACACAGAGTCGCTGGCCCGCAGTGTCAGCAGGGCTGAGGTGGAGGACCCTGAAGTGTGGACGCAAGCTCCTACAGCAGCAGAGCCACGTTTCTTGGCATTACTGGCCCACCGAGCGCCCTACCCGGGGGTGCGTGCTGAGGAATGTCTACCCAGAAACTCCCTGGCTGAGTGAAGTAGGCCTTTGGTAAGCGATGGACCTGCAGAAGGGAGCGTGGTTTCCACTCACCTCCCAGTACGGACTGGGGGATGTGCTGGGACCAGTCAAGGAGGGGAAGCTGAGCCCAGCACGGCTCGTGCCCAGTGTGCCACACACACACACTCCTTGGGAGGACAAGGACGGTGGCAGCGAGGGCTGAGGGCCACCACGGTGATCCAGCCGATGAGAAAGGAAGGTGCACCCAGTTTGGGGAAAAGGGGTGCATCACAGGGAAAGACTTCCTCCCCAGTGCTGGGAACAGCCGGCGCTCGGTCTCCTTTGTAGTAATTACTGTGTGGCCTGAGCATCCTCGGGCCCCGTGGTACGGATTGAACTATGGTCTCTCGAAATCCGTAAGCTGATGTCCTAACCCCTAGATCCCCGGAATGTGATCTTATTTGGAGGCAGGCCCTTTAAAGAGGTGACTAAGTGAAAATCAGGTCCTTAGGGTCAGCTCTAATCCATATGACTGGCGGCCTTTTTAAAGGGGGAATTAGGACACAGACCTGCGCATGCGCAGAGGGAAGACGACGTGAGCACACAGGCGGCCGGCCTGGGACCGGCTCCCCGTCACCGCCCTCAGAGGGGAGCAACCCCACCCAACCTTGACCTTGGGCGGCCAGCCTCCAGACAGAGAGAATGCACGGTCTGTGGCGCTTTGGTGCGGCCGCCCAAGCACGGGCAAACACTAGGCCAGGGCAGTCCCAGGAACCGGGATTTATTGAGGCCATCGAGGGTCAGCCAGTCACACAGACCTGGAACAAGGAGGTGCGGGCTGCTGAGACAAACAGCCCCTGCTTTACTCCCTGACGTGAGGCTCACACAATAAAATGGAAGCGACCCTGTGTCTGCTGAATTTTGGTGTTTCTGTGACTTGGAAGGGTCAGGACACACGTTCAAAGAAAAGCACAACATATTTGCTTCTCCTGCAGTCAAAGGAAAGTTCCATGCAGAGACACACCCAGCCCCAGGGGGCAGCTTGTCATCCCCAGGGAAGGCGGAGGGGCATGCTCAGTCCCCCTTGAGGCTCCCAGCCTTTGCCCGGGATCAGGCCCATGCCTTTCCCTCCCGAGGGCAGACGTAGTGACTGGTCCACCCCGGAGAAGGGAAAGAATCGAGTGGGACAGCTATGTTTTCTTCTTCAACATGGGTACTCACAGCTCATCTTCAAAGCAGATTTTGGCATACTTGTCCTTGCCGCCCCCGCTGAGCAAGCGGTAGGCATAGGTGTTCAAGGGGCACGGGGTCCAGTGGTCACATTTCTGCCTTTTAGGGGCTGGGGCTGCAGCAAACAAGAATGGAGGAGTCAGCATCATGCAACGATTTATCAGAGGAACCCACTGCCCAACTGTGAACGGCAGGCCTTCTATCCTGGGACTTCACGCTGGCAAGTCCCTACGGGAGGGGAGAAGGGATCACCAACTTCTCAGCAGCAGTGTCAGAAATTCCCCTAAAGATACAGTTGATTTCATCTGCGTTTGTCTAACAATAACAAACATGCAGAAGGGAGGGGATGTGGAGTGAGCATCACAGTTTCAGAAGGGTCAGCCCCCTGACGATCTTGGCACACACTGTGTATTTCGTATCACAATTAAAGAGAGCTCCCTTGGGTCTGAGAGTGCTGGCGAGCAAAGAAACAGCCACGTATGGAACATCTATCCAGCTTCTGCGTTTAAACACCCTGAAACACACATGTGCGTGCACACACACACGCCCAGACCCTACTCTGGCCATGGCGGACCCCTTTCCTTTCACTTGAGCCTGAGGCACTGGGCTCCTCTGTGGGGGGTGCAATGAGCAGGCCAGGGAGAGGGCTCCCCAGCACCCCCACACTACAGGGCTCAGCAACTGGGGAGGACTGGGGACCTGCCCGAGGCCGCCCCTCTGCCTGCTGGGTGCTTTGTGGCCATCGCCACCACGTGAGCCTCCCTGCTCACCCCAAGGTATCGGTGGCTGTCTGTCACTGACCACGGATCCCCCCACGAGGGGCTCAGTTCAGGTTTAAATCCCAAGTCCCCAGTGCAAAGACGCAGGCAGTGCTCTGGCTCGTCCCGTCTCACTGGAGACGTGGGCTGCACTTCTGCTGTAGGGCACGCGGCTGTGAGGTACAGCTGGCTGAGTGGTGAGGCCTGGAAGGCCTTGCTGGGGGCGGTTGGGGTGCACACAGACACCGTGAAGGCCCAGCGTGCTGCCCTGCTGAGCCGGATGGGGCAGAGCTTCTGGGTGAGCCCGGGGAAGCCGGTGTGCACCCAGCCTTGGGGCCCCAGGTAGGGGTACTAGGGAACACAGAGTTCTCCGGGGAGCACGCACCCCTTCCCACCCTTCACATCACCCCCCTCCTCACCTGCCCCACCCCCGAGGCTGAGCTCCCGCGCTGTCCTGTTTTCTTTTTCTTGACACTCAGCGCTCCAATATCCTATAGTTCCCTTGCCCCATGAAGGCAGGGATGGTGGCTCCAGCCCCAAGGTGGTGTGCGGTACACCCAGCTGCCCCAGTGTTTGTTGACCGACTAAGTGGATATCTGCCCCTCAGAGGAGGAGAAATCTCCCGACGTCAGAGACTCTGAACCCTGTCCCTGCCCTGAGCCCCATGCAAAAGCCATGAGGGATGGCGAGGCTTTCTGAACACCAAAGGCTGTAGCTCTGGTCCACCTTTGCCAGTTTTTCTTCCTATTAGTCTATTTTTTTAAACAAAGAAAGGCCCATGGGATTTTACTTTTCCTAATTTAATTTCTGCAGAAGAAAATTAGAAGTAATAGAAAAGCAAAATGAAGGGAAAAAATCCTACATATCTTCACTCTAAAGAATCTTAACTGTTTTACTCTGGCGTATTTTCTTCCAGACTTTTCTATGCATACAGAGGGCATCTGCAAAGTTGGCAAACACAGATTAAACATACTTAAGCAGTATGTTACTTACATAAATTTTCAAGTAATATATTCCCTATGGTTTTTCTCAATCTCCAGATTCCTAAATTTAAAGCAAGGGGTCCAACCATTAACATGAAAAAGTGCTATAAATACAGTATATTCAGTGTCTCTGGATTTGGGGCACTACAGTATATTTATTTTGGCTCTTTATTAAAAAATTTAATAATAGTACCCATTACTTTAAATGTAGAGGTAATTTACCTAAAAACACATTGAGCATAATATTTGGAAAATGTAACATACTGTTAGATATGTTCTGGGGCGCCTGGGTGGCTCAGTTGGGCGTCTGCCTTCGGCTCAGGTCATGATCCCAGGGTCCTGGATTGAGCCAGGTATCAGGCTCCCTGCTTGGCAGGGAGTTTGCTTCTCCCTCTCCCTCTACCTGCAGCTCTCCCTGCTTGTGCTCTCTCTCTCAAATAAAATCTAAAAAAAAAAAAAAGAAAAAAGTAGATATGTCCTGTTTCCTGACTTGTGGACATCCTGTGTATATAGCCAGTCTAGAGCAAATACTTTTTTTTTTTAAAGTTGACTTATTTATTATTTGAGAGAAAGAGAGTGAGAGAGAGCACATGTGTGCAAACAGGGGGAGGAGCAGAGGAAGAGGAAGAGAAGCAGACTCTGAGCCTGATGTGGGTCTCCATCCCAGGACCCTGAGATCATGACCTGAGCTGAAACCAAGAGTCGGTCGCTTAACCGACGGAGCCACCAAGGCGCCCCTAGAGTGAATACTCTTTTTTTTTTTAAGATTTTTTATTTATTCATTTATTCATGAGAGGCAGAGAGAGAGAGAGAGAGAGAGAGAGAGGCAGAGGGAGAAGCAGGCTCCCAAGGAGCAGGGAGCCCGATGCGGGACTCAATCCCAGGACCCCGGGACCATGACCTGAGCCGAAGGCAGACAGTTAACCATCTGAGCCACCCAGGCGCCCCAGAGTGAATACTCTTAAAGTGGGCTGGATCCACGTTTATTCTACCTGTTACCTGCATTGCCTTAGTGTAGGTAACGCTACCCCCTTAACAAGCACACAGACCCGCTCACTTCTGGGTGGACCCTGCTCTTCCCCAAATGGAACCCGCCCTCTGCTCTCAGAGAAGGACATTGTTTGCAGGTCCTTTTGCCATCATCACGGGCTGTAGGACTGTACTGGCTACGTGATCCTCTCAACCTAGTGATGAAAAGGACCTAAATCTGTCCTGAATGTGCTGGGCATGCTGACAGGTGTGACATGTTGACTGGCAGAGGTGTATGGTCCCCCATGTACCCAACAGATCTCAAGAGATAAGGCCATGAGGGCACATCGTACCTCCTGACCCCCACAGGATATGGTAATTTAGAGACAGAACTACAGCAGATTAATACCAAAGTGTCGAGGGTAACAGGAAAAGGCATTTTGCTTTGTTTTAAGGCCAGGAGCCAGGACTCTACATGGGAGAGGGACCTGGGCGGAGCAGGTCAGGAGGAAACATAGGGACTAGTGAGGCAGTGTGGGCTGAGTCCCAGCCTGAGCTATTTCCTATTCTCCCTCCTGCTGGTGACCCCTCTGCTCCACCTGGCTGGGGCTCAGAGACAGGAAAAAAGTGACCAGTCCAGCAGAGCAAGCACAGTACTGGACAAGACTCAGCCTGCCCAGCTCTCCCACCTTCTTAGCCCGGAAATTCTCCCAAAGGCCTGAAGCTGGAGTTTCCCAGTGCCGCCATCCCTGGGGGGCTCATATGGATAATCTCCCGCCCCCTCCTCACCCTGTGGGGTCAGCAGCATTCCAGGCAGGGGCCCTGCTCTCCACATGGCAACCAGCATCACTGGGCGCCAGAGCCCGTGCCTTGCCAGGAGTGCCGAGGGCAGGTCTTCCAAACCTACAGCCCTGCCACTCCGAGGCCCCAGCAAAATGTGGGTGCCATTCATGTGGGGATGCACAGGTGCATTTTCCACAAGGGAAGCACTTGATTTTCATCAGATTCTCCAAGGACAACGTGGATCTAGTGACCAGGGATGACACGGAGGTGGTATTTTCTCGCAGTACCTGGGAACAGTTGGGTAGTCTGTGCGGCATTTCAAAAAGGCTCGTTTAACCTTCTACCCATTCCCTAGAAACCCACACTGTCATTATGGGACCAAAGATAGAAGATCATATTCTTTATTCGGGGTGGGGGTGTGGGGATGTAGACACATCTTCTCAGAAGACAGAGCTCTCTCCAAACCCTGCCTCTTCCCCACCACGTTCCTCACCAGATTCACTCCCTAATTCCCAGGTATTTGTTCCAAAAATATCTGTCAAATACCAGATACTGTGCTACATTTAGGTCCTCGGCGCATTTTCCTGAGATTTCTTTCCCCAAGATTGAACAGTAAAGCCCATGTGCATATGTAGGAGCTGATGCCCAGCCGGGAGGAACAGCGGGCCTGCTCGTCAGTACCCTGCTTCCCTGTCTCCTGAAGAGCCTGCCTGTTGGTTTAAGTAAGACCCAGGGCCCTGATCGGCCACGTGGCTCCAACATGGTGGGCCTCCTGCTGTGAATTTCAGCCTTAGAAATCATTCTCTTACTGAGGGAAGTCTTACCTTATTTCTTATCCTTACATTCACTAAACAAAAATAGGTTCTGAGGCTCCACGATGAACCCATAGATTTTTAATTTCCTGGAGCAGGATCCAGGAATCTTTCTGAAATACTTCCTGATTTGGGAACCATAACTGCCCTCACCCCTTTAAATAAGGAAGGTGATTCCAGAACTGTGTTCCTGCTGTGTGTGCCAGGCAAACAAGAAGGGTGCTACTGGGGTGCGTGTTCGGCCACATACCAGCCATGTCAACCTGCCTCATTGCTCTACATGAGATTAAAGTCCAGTCCGCAGAAATAAAAGCCCAGAAGGCACCCGAAGAGTGCTGGTCTCTCTGACAGGCAGTGATAAGGATTTCTTGGGCGTCCTGAGGACGGTGAAGTAGGACAGACTGTCAGCACACCAGTTCGTCTGGCTGGGTGGTGCCAATGTGGAAGGATGCCGAACCCCACGGAGAGACTGTGTGGGCACGGTGCTGTGTCACCTCCCCTGGACCTCTGTCCCCATGTCCCCCCCGAGAGAGTGGCCTGGCTGCTTCTGTGCCCTCGCTGCGGGGGCACGGAAACGGGAGCCAGGTAAGGTCGTTAAGGCCCTACCAGCTAGCGTGGTTCTCTGGAGGACGCAGCACCCTGCAAGGGAGGGTTCATTTTTGAACCAGAAAGAGCCTCAGACATAGAGACACCGGCAATGTCCCTCCCACATGGACAGAGGAGGGATCTCGAAGGCAGTGACGACTAGTCAGTGGCAGAATTAGAATTAAAAGTAGTTTTTCTGGCTCTTTCTTGCGACGCAGCCGCTCAGTGGTTGTCAGCTCATTCCATCTTGGCTGAGAATCTAGGAAGGTGGCTCAACGGAGCTGATTTGGTTGGCTTGGTTCCGTCTCACCAGAGCTTCTAAGAAAATGATTCAATGACCTCACATCTGAAGTATACGGGAGAAAATTTCAACAGGATTCTCCTTCTACTTACTCTCCTGAAACCGACCTTTGAGGCCTGGGTTTGCAAGCTGTGTGTAGGGGTGTATGTGGCTTCCAACCAGACTCACTCATCCATGGATGCACAAATTCTCATTATATAGACACTTATTGACAAAGTACTTGTTAAACACCGCATGCCGTCCTCAGCTCTACAGGGAGAGCGGTGAACAGAGTAGCTCCCATACGGTGAATGCAAGAGACAGAAAGCAAGCTAAGATAGATCATCGCTGACTGTGATATGTGCCATGTGGGGAACAGGCATTGACAGCTTCAGACGTATACAAAACACTCCCTGCAAATCAACAAGAACAGAACCATCCCACAGAACATGGGCAAGGCACAAATTCGAGATCCACAGAAGAGGGGGCGGGGCACGGGGACAAAGGCCTGGTGTTCACAGTTGCAGCCTGCCCTGAACGGCCCCCTGCCCCCCACTGAGAGGGCAGCACCTTTTGGCACCAAGATACACGTCCATAAAATAGGACAGCTGGTTCTGCGAGGAGGTATTCAAACATAAAGATGTCCTGAAACACCTCAGAGGGGTTGGGGAGGACTGGCACGGAAAATGGGGAGAGGGGGCAGGAGAAAATAAAACCTGAGCAGCCTTGGCCCATGCCTGTGGGGGTAAGGGTGGAGGGACACTGAGGCCCGAGGGGGACAGGGAGCCACGGGGTTCTCTGTCCTTCCGGGTGAGCAAGCCTCTTTCATGAAGGAGCCAGACTGATGTGAAGTCCTCTCATTCAGTATGAGGAAGAGGATGACCCGGAGCAGTCAGCACGTGGACTCCAAACAACGGCCAAGGGTCCGGAGAAGGAAGAGAGGGGGCAGGTCTAGAAACCCCGGGGAGATTCAGGGGACTCGGGATGAGCTCAGATTTACAATCTCGTAGAGAAGGCAGGGCAGGGGTGGGGGGGGCAGCATACAACATGAGGATGGTATGCACCCAGGGGAGCACAGATTGCAGGGTAAGAATTAACTTCAGAAAACCCAAAGCCAGGATCACAGGGCCTCCAAGGCTGCACAGGGAGTTGGGTCATTTTAAGGGAATAGTGTAGGGCGCTTGGGTGGCTCAGTCAGTGAAGCATCTGCCTTTGGCTCAGGTCATGATCCCAGGGTCCTGGGATCGAGTCCCGCATTGGGCTCCCTGCCCAGTGGGGAGCCGGCTTCTCCCTCTGCCTACTGATCCCCCTGCTTGTGCACACGTGTGCTCTCTCTGGCAAATAAATAAATAAAATCTTTTTTAAAAAAATAAGAGAACAGTTTATGAAGTGGAAAAGCAACCATGGATTAGGGTGAAAGCCCAAGATGGGGGTGGTGTGTCAGGGCCAAGCGCAGGTGGGCTCAGTCCAGGCGGCCTCGGCCATGGGGGGAGATGCTCAGTATGTGTCTCTGGTTCCTCAGCCCCTTTCTCTCCATGCCCAACACTGATCTCACATAACAACATGCTCCTTCCTTTGCTTCACCTTGGACCAGATGTGAGGAGTCACTGAGGACGTTTAGAACAAACACTCCCAGGAGGGTGTCAGAGTCACTCTGCTGAGCCAAGAGTAACAGAGGTTCCCATGCTGATGGCAGCAGCTACGCTCGTCCTTGAACCCTGTCCGAAGCCTGGGATCCCCATCACCCTGGGTACTCCATAGGCACGGAGGAATGCAGGTGTCCAAATCATCACCCAGTTCTTTATATGTGTGCAGATTAATTTTCCATAATCTTTTCTGTCCTAAAAACATGCCAGCATACCTATTTACAATGAGATTCCAAAAAGGGGTATAGTTTACTCCTTGAGTGTCCCACCTGTTTTCCAATGGAGAGTCTAATGAAGATTTTGTGATTTCACTTCATTCCCAAATTAAGTTGTATGCCAAATGCGTATTTTTATTTAACACATCTTGGAAATGAAGTTTCTTTGTTTTCCTAACAGCATAATTTGCCTTGGGGTCTCACGGGGGGATAAGCAGGGGTATCTACCTTGGAAAGGTGTGGGACCTCCTCCTCCTCCCCCCCCACTCCTCCCCCCTTCCCTTCTTCTTCACTTTCGTGATCATCACCTTCATCAGCATAAAATGGCCAGCTGGGGCAGAGCTGAGGCCAGAACCCACACACCACCGCAGCTGAGCTGTGGTACTCACCCTTGAGGAGGGGCTTCCTGGTGATGCTCCAGGTGCTATAAACAGCACTGGTCAGGGATACCTCTGGAATGAGCTCTGCGAGCAGGTACCCGGAATACCAGGCGCATATGGAGGCGAAGAAGAAGAATGCCGTCTTCAAAGTGCCTGGGGACAGACAAGTCGCCACTGTGCATGCCTAGGGGACAGGTGCCTCCATCCTAACCCCACTTCCTGCATCAGCGTCTGCAGGGTGTTCTGAGACGTTCGTCCCGGGGAAGTGGCAGGTGGGTAAGGGCTGTAACGAAGCCATGATGACTTAGCTGGCATTGCTAAGACTACGCGTTTGAGGTTACAGCAACAGATGATAGAAACAAGAGATGAATGCTTTCTATGCCAAGTTTTTATATTTGCTGTTGGTCTGGGTTTTAGAGCTTCCTCAGATGCTAACATCAGTGATTCATTAGTGGCCTCGTGACCCACCACGCCTGACACAGACCAAAAGTGGCTCATTCCTTTGTGAGGAGGCTTTTGGAAGTGGACTGCGAAGTCCAGAGGGCAGGGTCTGTTTTGTTTATGCTGAGAATAGCACCTAGCGCCCTGTGAAAATGCAAAGGGTCCCCGTGACCCTGGGAAGAGCCACCGAACCTCTAATTATCATCACAGACCAGCTTGCAGGGAAACCCAAGTTTTGCAGAAGCAGCAAATCCCTGGAGGTAATCTTTCTGGTTGATTGGCTCTGGTACCTTCCTCCCAATTTTTTAAGGAAAAGGCATTACCCACTCCTAGGTCACGGGAGGCCTAGGGGACAGCTCCCCATCCCTTCACAGACAACCTGCCACCAGGCCTTTCTGATTTTACCCCCTAAATAGCTCAAAGATCGGGACTCGATTCAGGATCACCAAAAGGGCCACAAGGCAGGAATGGCTGCACGCCCAGCACAAAAGGACGGCAAGAATTTCTCCATCAGCATTTAAATATGTGTTCATAGGTCCAGTCCTAAGAACTAAGAAAAGGAAGGAAAGGAGGGAGGGAGCGAGGAGAAGAGAAAGGAGAGGGAGGAAAGAAGGGAGGGGAGGAGAGGGACCTCACACCTGACCCCACAATGTCCTGTGGTTGCCTCACTCTTGTAACCACTCGGGCCATGCACCTGGAAATAACCATCCCCTCCTACAGCCTCCAGGCCTCCCCTCCCACTCCATGGCTCAGGACAGCTGTGCTGGTCAAAGCCTCCAAAGTCCTTGGTGCTTCCAGCGCCCCGTCCCCCGATGACAGGCACCCCTGTGCATGTCCTCCCTGGCTGACACCCACACTCCTGACGGGGCTCCCAGTTTGTGGGCACGTCCTGGTCTTCTCTGCTGGCTTTCCCTCCCAGGGCACAGCCTGGGCCTCTCCTCCGGATCCCAGGATTAGCTCGCCCAGACAATCCTCCGAGTTCCTGACAGGGGTGCCCAATTGCCAACCTGTCAGTACCCTGGGATGTCCCAGAGGAAAAGCCTTCATTTCCTCCCCGCTCCCCAGACCTGTTCCTGACCCACGTCTGGCCCGTCTCAGTGGATGGCTGGGGTCAGGTGCCAGACCCCTGGGGTCCTTCCTTTATTTCACACTTCCCCTCCCAGCCCCGATGGAATCCATCAGCCAGTCTCGTTGGGTTTACCAAAACCATCAATCTCACCTCCATAGACTTTTCTTCATCTCTACTGCCTCCTCCCTGCCAGGCCACCACCATCGTTAACTCTTCCCTCTCGCTGGCAGTGAATAAAAACTCCACACCCCGCTGTGCTCCAGACAACGCGTGGACTTATCAGAGGGGATGTAATAAAGACTGTATCTCAGCTTTGTCCCAGCTCCTGGCACAGAAGGCCTAAAACCCTTGGTATCTCCTATCTGTCAGGAGCATCTTTTGTTATTCATGAGAGGCTCCTTTCGACCACATCTGAGTCTAGGCTCAAGAGGTGACAGGGGTGGAGGAGTGTCCTCAGGTCCTTAGACAGCTTTAAGGGAGGGGCTGGCCAGGTGATCGGAGGGTTGGCACTCTGACCTCCCCGAGGAAGATGAAAGGGAACCTGAGCTGGGTATGTGACCAATGACATAATAAGACTCAAGAACTCTGGGCTCCCAAAGCTTGAGGCTGGGCACCTTTCTGGTAGTTAACACACAGGTGTCAGAGGATGCTGAGGCACTGTGACCCCAGGGGGCAGAGGCCCCAAACTCCGAGGCTGGGGCCCTCCTAGTCTTCTACCCAGAAGCTTCCTCGTTGGGCTAGCGCTCCAGATCTGTGGACCATCCACAGGGGATGTGCCCTCCAGCACGTGTGCTTGTGCTTGGGGGCGACCCGTGAGCTCAGCGGGTGGCGCTGATGGAATAGGGTGGGACGCTTAGGTTTCACTGGGACGAGTTGGTCTTGTTCAAGTGTGCACTTCCACATCTAGGATGTTCTTCTGTTTTCCAAACCATGCAGCCCCTAAGTTGTTAGAAGATTATGCAGGGACAAAGGGACACCTCAAAGCTGAGAAAACCAGCCACAGGAAACAAACCGAGAGCCATGGGCATGGCTGACTCTGTCCCTGCAACCCCTCTGTTTGCTCTGGGCTGGGTCACACTGATCTACTGGAGCCCCGGCCCCGTCCTGCCACGTGCCTTTGCCTGAGTCTGTCCCTCTGCTCTCCTCCGTGACCTCCAGCCTTCTCTCTCTCCCTCCACGGCTCCCCCTACCTCAGGGCAGCCGGCCACATACGCTCACATCAGCCCTTCACACGCCTTGTTGGCCTTGAACACCAAGGGTCGTCCGCCTCCAGGATTGTGCCCGCACACCAAGACATGGGTCACAGAGGTTCCAGAAAATTCTGTTGGATGCACGCCGAGGAAGCAGTGTGGAATGACTGCTGGAAACGGAGTCAGCACCAACAGTGTCTGGCTCAAAGGCAACAGTAGTCCACTGTGTCCTGTGTGTGTCAGATCACAGCTGGACTATTTTGTCCAAGTGTCATATTTAAAGAGGACAATTGGCAACCCAGAGATTCTTTGCAGGACCTTCCAGTCACCACGGCTTGTGTGAAGTCTTTGAGCACAGGTGCTGTTTAGCTTGGAGGACACTGAAACAGAACACGATGCTACCTTCCACATGTGTAAAGGGCAGCTACACAGAAGAGACAGGGTTCTGTCCCCGGCTGAACAAGGACACATGAACGGAATTGACGGGGAGGACCATGAGGAATGACTAAACGGCCCAAGCGTCCTCGTACACACAACTAAAAACTGTGGCTGGCCTGCCCTGCAAGGCAGTAAGCTCCCAGCCCTGGACACTTTCCTGCGCTCCTGGGAAGGCTGTAAAGTACCCGTGCTTCAGGTGAGGGGTGAGCCAGTGATGTTCCGGCTGGGGGCAGCTGGTTTCTGGGGTTGGCCGAGAGAAGCCAAGACCTAGAGCCAGAACCACCTCCAGGCGGGAGGGCAGATCAGGCAGCACAGACTGGGACCAGTCCACCACGACAGTCTGGTGGCTCCTGCCAGCAGGGAGCTAGACCAGCAGCTGGTGGGCAGGCCTTACAGTCACGGAAGTGTCCAGCTACCGGGGGAGAGCAGGCCTGGAAGGCCGGACAACGCCCACACCAGCTGGGGCCCAGCCAGTCTCAGGGCTGGACACCTCCGTCAGTCCCTGGGGTGAGTGCCCACCAGGTAGGACCCGAAGCAGTTTGCTGAGATAGGCTCAGACCCTAGGCGGCAGAGAAGAAACCCGTGCCCGAGCGGGGCAGAGGTGAGGACTCATTTGGGAAAGGTGGGAGCCAGACTTCAGCTAAGATGGCTCCCTGGCCCTGTGTGGGAGGGGGTCCAGGAGCTTCCGATGAGAGGTAGGGGCGGGGAGGAAGTATGCTGAGTTCAGGAACCTTCTGTGATCCTGTAACCAGGATCTGGTCTTTACTTGTAAAGTAATAAAGTCATTAGCGGCAGTTGACACACATGTCCTCCTGCGGGCTTCCAATCAGCAGGTGTCACAGGGGAGGGTTAGAGCAAAGGCCAGTTCCAAGCAGGACAGGGAGTCAGCGAAATTCCTCTTCAGAGACCCCCCCACTCATCCTGTATGTGTGCCTGTGTGTGTGTGTCCTACCCTCATCCCCACCCTCAGATTCTCGGGGTCTCAGGTTGGCCCCGGACCCTTCCCTGACACTGGAGAAGGCAGCAGTCCTAAAACCAATTTGCACTAAGCCAGGCTACAGGTAAGGGGATCTCAGCGCACCCCTTACCCCTCCAACCGGGGGACCCTGAAGAGGGCAACTCTGAACCCCTAAGAACACACTTTCTCTGGTGGGATCTCCTTCAACATAAAGTATGACGAGGAAGCTGTTTGTCACTAGCAGCCTTGCCAACATGAACCCGAACCCCCTCACCCTGGAGGTGGCCTCACCTGCACCTCCTGTCTCGGGGAGGGGGCAGCGAGGGAGGGCTGAGGGTGGACGAGCCTTACTCATCCTCCTCGGAACTTGGCGGCTTTGCGGCCTCAGGCTCTGCTGGCCTCAGTGTCCACTGTTGTCATTGTCCTGTTGACCGAGGCTTTTTGGCAGGAAGGCTGGGAAATGTTACACCTGAAGCTCACAGTAGGTTTGGAAGGTAACCTGCCTTGGAAGTTTCACACACCAACGCCCTACTTTTGAGGAGTTAGGACGACGGCTATCAGGCAGCTGCCCCATAGGTGAAGGGTGGTGGCAGCTTAACTTACTTCATCCATTCCACCTGAATGTCCCTTCTGTGAACTTTTTACCTGGGACACACCCAAGGGCTTAACCAAAGTATCCAGGAAAATGCTGCACTGAGAATGCTGCCAAATCCTGAGCTCACAAAATCCAAAGTAACATGGTTCTGAGCTTCTGCAGGTGACTCTCTCTTAACCACATACGTCCATATAACTACAGATCTGATGATACGTCAAAGCTTTATGCAAAAGGACCACATAGGCCATGAACGACTCACAAGGGCCATGTGTGAAAAAGGTGTAGGTAGGGGAAAGCAGTCTAAGAGTATTCAGCATTTTCCACCAAGTAGCCAGCAAAATGTTATAAGAATATAGAGATAATGAAAAAAAAATCTTCCAAAATAGCTATCATGAAAGTAATGCCCCAAGGGAGATGTTTTCTCCCCAAAAAAGAGACATATATTTCCATCCATTTATCCTACAATCCACACAAGTTACCAAAAACACTGCTGTTCATAAATAAACAGTTTTTTAGAGAACATGACTATTTCACACAATAAAGAAAAATCTGAAAATCTGTCTTTCCAAACTTTGGGAATGAAGCCGCAAAGGTGGTGTTTAGAACTTTCTGGAGTATGACCACACAGCTGGAATGGTGCGCCCCAACAAAAGAGGATGGTTTAGTCTACCACCTCCAGGCAGACAAGCTGCCCTCTGGGGAGGGGGAGGGGGAGGGGCCACTAAAGAAGTCCAGAGAACTTCCATTTCTGAAGTTCCCATTTTTGTACAAGGTATGCTGCCTTGCTCCAGGAGGAATCCAGATTCCTCAGATTATAGGGAGGAAACAGGAAGTACAAAGGTGGGCAGATTAACCTGGAACCCCAGAGCGCCCTATAAGGCGAGGCAGGCAGGCAAGTGACCATTGATGGAGGCCAACGACAGAAAGGCAGGCTTTGAGAGGCGACACGACTGGTGGAATGACTTTTGTTTCTTCTTCCCTTTTTCCTATTTTTCCCAAGCCTTCTCAAGTAATTTGATGTTTGGAAAACATAAAAACGGCCTTATAAAGAGATGCTAGCAGAAATTTTATAGTCAGTGTCAATGGGGCATTCCACATTCATCCGTCCCCACCTCCCACCCACTCCCCCTCCCACCCCCCCGACTTAAAAAGGCTGCCTCACTGTCCCTCACTTTTCATAACTTCCTGGGCTGGTCACTTTGACCTGTGGCTAGTGACCCCCGACTCCTGCCTGAGCAGCACCAGGTGGAGCCCACAAGGGCCTCTACTTCTCAGCTGGCAGCCCTTCGCTGGCGGCGCATGAGGTGGCGGCGGGGGGGGGTCATCCCGGCAGGCACATGCCCTCCCCCGTGGCCGGAACCCCCTCCGCTTGGAGCTCTGCCTGCGCTCACCTGCTACCTACTTTCCAGGCAAAGCATCAGACTCACGGAGCCGGGAGACGGGGTGGGACTATCTGCACGGGAAACCCAGCGAATTGGCCCCCGCCCGAGCCCCTTTCCGCATTTCTGATCCCAGGGCTAGGAGAAGACCCGGCCCCAGCACCTGCCCCGCCCTCGGGCTCTCGCGGGGGGTGGGGGGCTCCCAGGAAGGACGAGGGGGCGGCTCTCCGCTGCCGGAGTCCCCCTCGCCCTCCTCCTGCGGTGAGGGTCGCACTCACCCGCTGTCCCCGGGCGCATCTTCCAGGTGCAGCTCTCTGGCGCCCGGAGCGAGCCTCGAGGGGTCCAGTGACGACAGAGATGCACCCTCGGAGCGGCCGGCGGCGGGGAAGGAGAGCAAACGGCGGGGAGACGGGGCCTGACGGAAGTGCGGGCCGGGCGCGGGCCGGGCGGGTGCTGGCGGGCCAGGTGCCTGCAGATCCGGCAGGTGCGGGCGGGCCAGGTAGGTGCGCGGGGCGGCGCCCACGAGCTCCGGACCTTCAGCCCGGGAGGGATGCTCCCTCCGCCCGGCCGACAGGGGGCCAGGAGTAATGAGCAGGGTTTGTTCCCCACGGAGGACACTGTGCCCCCCCTTTTTAAAAAAGATTGCATTTATTTATTTGAGAGAGAGCACAGCAGGGGGAGCGGCAGAGGGAGAGGGAGAAGCAGGCTCCCTGCTGAGCAGGGATTTCCCAGGACCCTGGGATCATGACCTGAGCCGAAGGCAGACGCTTAACTGCCTGAGCCAACCAGGCGCGGTGGACACTGTGTCCCTTAAGGGTTGGCAGCCTCAGCCGCCAATTTAATGTCTCACAAGGGGAAATGGCTACAAAGATAAGTATGCCCTGAGCCTTCTAAACATCAAAGCCGAGTCCTAGCAGGGTCCAAGCTGGAGGTCAATGCCGCAGGGCCAAGGTCATAATGCTCCTTGCTTCCTCCAGCACAGTCCTGCTGCCCCTGTGGTTTGCACAGCCCAGCACGGTCCTCCACCTCTTGTTTCCTCCTTCACTTCAGGGCTTGATTTGGGGGAATGGAGCAAGGACAGTGCCCCCAACCCCACGGTCAGGGTCACAGGTCTGCAGGTCCTTTTGTTCACAGGGAGGCCGGGGGTGCCAGGGTGGGAGTCTGGCAGGTGTTTGAAGAAAGCTTCCCAGAAGACACCCAAGCCAGACATCCATCAGATTTTATTGCTCTTTGGAATACACGGCAGTCATAGTGGCCTCAGCCTGCCAAGGGCAAGTTAAGGCTCCAAGGGCAGTTGGTCACCTTTGTAGAAAGAGTGCTCCAGGTTGGCAGGGTTCTACAGAAGACCCACCCCCACTCCCAGAGTCCGCGGGCTCCACAGTTCTGCTCTGTTCCTGTTTCTCCTCTCCTGAAAAGCCCAGAGGCCCCCACCAGTCCCCTCCCCCAGTCCCAGGATACCCATTCCTGTGGGCTGTCAGAAGGGGCTTTACCCTGACCCTCCTCCACCATCGTCTTTGCCTCCCAAGGAGCTCCTGTGTGGCTCCATCCAGGAAGCCTGGAGACACATGTCCTGCAGACAGTTTGGCTTTACTCTTCCAGGTCACTCGTCCTCCGACTGTGTCCTCAATCAGGGAGATCAGAAGACAGGGTCTCCACAGTTCCCAGGACTTGGAGCAAGGCACATTTCAGTTCAGACGCCACCTCTGGGCTGCTCTCCGGCAACACTCAGAAGCCACTTCCCGGCTGTTCCTCACAGTTACATTAAGCAAGTACATCAGTTCATTAAGGTGGATCTTGGTTTCATTGACCAAGAGTCTCACCTTTGTCTAGCTCACCTGATTTTGGAGATTGAGCTTTTATGTCCTGTTTTGTTTTCATTTTCTTTTTGATTGTGGTAAAAAAAAAATGCATAACATAAAATTTACTATCTTTTCCAAATTTAAAAATTTACATTTAAAAATAATTTACATTTAAGTGCACAGTTCAGGGGTGTTAAGTATATTCACATTGTTGTGCAACAGATCTTAAGACCTATTTGTCTTACAAAACTGAAACTTTGTCCGCATTAATATCAACTCCCCTTCCCCCACCCCCAGCTCTTGGAAACCACCATCCTACTTAGTTTCTATGAATTCAACTACTTTAGAAACTTCACCGAAGGGGCGCCTGGGTGGCTCAGCTGATTAAAGCGTCTGCCTTCGGCTCAGGTCATGATCCCAGGGTCCTGGGATCCCTGCTCAGAGGGGAGCCTGCTTCTCCCTCTCCTTCTGCTGCTCCCCCTGCTTGTGCTCTCTCTCTCTCAAATAAAGAAAAATAAAATAAAGAAAAAAGAAAGAAAAGAACTTCACCCAACTGGAACATACACTATTTGTCTTTTTATGACTAGCCTATTTTACTGAGGATAAAGTCCTCAGGGTGCGCATCCATGTTGTAGCATGTGACAGCATTTCATTCTTTTTTTTTTTTTAAGATTTTATTTATTTATTTGAGAGAGAGAGAATGAGAGAGAGAGCACGAGAGGGAAGAGGGTCAGAGGGAGAAGCAGACTCCCCACTGAGCAAGGAGCCCGATGAGGGACTCGATCCCAGGACTCCAGGATCATGACCTGAGCCGAAGGCAGTCGCTCAACCAACTGAGCCACCCAGGCGCCCAGCATTTCATTCTTTTTTAAGGCTGAATAATATCCCATTATGTGTATACTCCACATTTTGTTTATCCATTTATTTGTTGATGAACACTTGGGTTATTTCCAGCTCTTGACTAGTGTGAATAATGCTGCTATGAACATGGATGTACATCTCTTCGGGACCCTGTTTTCAATTATTTTGGGTACATACCCAGAAATAGAGATTGCTGGATCATATGGTAATTTTATTTTTAAGTTTTTAAGGAAACACTATGCAGTTTCCCACAGTGGCTGCCCCATTTTATATTCCTAATAACAGTGTACAAGTATTTCAATTTCTCCACATCCTCACCAACATGTTTTGTTTTTGCTTTTTAAATTTTTAAATAGTGGCCATCCTAATGGGTATCTCACTGTGGTGTGATTTGCATTTCTCTAATTCTTAGTGATTTTGAGCATCACCTGTGCTTGTCGGCCATCTGTGTATCATCTTTGGAGAAATGTCTGTTCCAGTTCTTTGCACATTTTATAGTCTGGTTTTGTTGTTGTTGCTGAGTTGTATGGGTTCTTTAAATATTCTGGGTATTATTAGTTCCTTATCAGATGTATTGTTTGCAAATATATTCCCTGATTCCATAGGGTGCTCTATTCACTCTAATTGTGTCCTATGATGCACGGTTTTTAAGTTTGATATAGTCTCATTTATCTATTTTTGTTGCTGTTGTTGCTTATGCTTTTGGTCTCATGTCCAAGATATTACCAAATCTAGTGTTATGAAGTTTTTCTCCTATGTTTCCTATTAGGAGTTTTACAGTTTTAGGACTTACATTAAGGTCCTTGACCCATTTTGAGTTAGTTTTTTGTATATGGTGCTAGGGAAGAGCCTAACTACATTCTTTCGATGTGGATGTCCAGTTTTCCCAACATGTTGAAGAGACCATCCCTTCCCCATTGAATGGTCTCAGCACCCGTGTTACAGATCATTTGACCATATATGCAAGGGTTTCTTTTTGGGCTCTCAGGTATATTCCATGGATATATATGGAATCTGTCTTTATGCCAGTACCACTGGATTACTGTAGCTTTATGATAAGTTTCAAAATCAGGAAGTGTGAGCCTTCCAACTTTTTCTTTTTCAAGATTGTTTCGGCTACTCAGAGTCCCTTTGGATTCCAGAGGAATTTTAGGTTGGATTTTTTTTTCTTTTTTTAAGATTTTATTTGAGAGAGAGAGAGAAGACGAGGTGGGGGAGGGAGGGGCAGAGGGAGAGGGAGAAGCAGACTCTCCACTGAGTGTGGAGCCTGATGTGGGGCTTGATCCCAGGACCCTGAGATCATGACCCGAACTGAAGGCAGACGCTTAACCGACTGAGCCACCCAGGCGCCCCTAGGTTGGATTTTTCTATTTCTGCAAAAAAACATCATCAAGATTTTGATAGGGCTTGCACTGAATCTGTAGACTGTTTTTGGTGGTATTGATAGCTTAACGATATTAAACCTCCCAATCTCCAAACAACAGATGTCTTTTCATTTATTGGTCACTTCCTTAATTCCTTTCAGCAATGTTTTAGAGTTTTCAGTGTATAAGGTTTTCCCTTCCTTGGTTAAGTCAGGGTTTGTTTTGATTTTGCTCTCATCGCCTGCATCCCAACCCCATTCCCCACTGTCAGCAGGTTTATAACAAACATGGCTACTCAAATTCCCCCCAGCAGCCTCCATTATTTAAAAATAAAAAAATACAGGGTGGCTGGGTGGCTCAGTCAGTTAAGTATCTGCCTTCGGCTCAGGTCGTGATGTCAGGGTCCGGGGATCGAGCCCCACATCGTCAGGCTCCCTGCTCAGCGGGAGTCTGCTTCTCTCTCACCCTCCGTCTCTCTCTCGTTCACTCTCTGTCTCTCAAACAAATAAATAAAATCTTAAAAAAAAAGACATAATTTCCATTTCTGATCTATACTATTTTTTTTCTAGAGAGGAAATGCTATGTATATTAACAGTGAAAAATGTAAAGCAATCTATGAGGTTAATAAAAGGCAGAATGACTATTTAAATAAATTACTGTTTAAACACTTGGAACTCTACTCAAGAACTTAAAATGATTGTTATCAAGATTATATATTACTGGGGCGCCTGGGTGACTCAGTCAGCTAAGCATCTACCTTCAGCTCAGGTCATGATCTCAGGGTCCTGAGATGGAGCCCCGCATTGGGCTGCCTGCTCAGTGGGGAGCCTGCTTGAGGCTTCTCTCTCTCTCTCTCTCCCCGCTGCCCTTGCCCTTGTGCTCGCTTGCGCACACTCTCTGTCTCTACTCCTCTAAAATAAATAAATAAATCTTTTAAAAAAGATTATATATCGCTTGTAATATACATGGAAAACATACATTAAATGCATGTTAAGTGAAAAAGCAGGAACAAAAGTGGACGTTTATGCATATAAGAAGGCTAGAAGGAAACACATAAAAGCAAAAACACTGCTGCATTTGCATGAGCGTACTATAAAGCCACATTACGTTAAAATTTTTTTACATAAATATGCCCTATGAGATATGGAAGCAACCTAAGTGTTGATGGGTAGAGGAATGGATAAAGAAGATGTGGTGTATGTATGTACAACAGAATACACTCAGCTATAACAGAGATTGAAATCTTGCCATTTGTGACAACACGGATGGACTTACAGTGTATTTATGCTCAGTGAAGTTAGAGAAAAACAAATCCCATATGATTTCACATCTATGTGAAATCTAAAAAACAAACGAACAAACAAAAACAGAAACGGACTCATAAATACAGAGAACAAACTGGTGGTTGCCAGAGGGGCATGGGGGTGGAGGGACGGGGGACCTAGGTGAAGGAGATGAAGAAGCACCAACCAACTTCTACTTGTAACATAGGTGTCACAGGGATGAAGGTACAGTTTAATATGGTAATACCTTTGTATGGTGGCAGATGGTAACTAGCTGCAGTGAGCGCTAACAGTAATGTGTAGAATTGCTGGATCTCTAGGATGCGTACCTGAAACTGACACAACGTAGCTCCCCCTCAATTCCCTCATGCGTCCCTGGGCCTCCTGGCCCATTGGCTCATCTTCGCAGCTCTTCCCTCACCTGAGGCCCGGGGTTCCCTCCCCAGAGACAGCCACTGTCACTCCTGGCCCTCGGAGCCAGTCTCTGCATATGCAAACCTGCGTATATTTCCGCCAGCCTTCTGACACAAAAGATAGATTGTACATGGTGTTTCACAACTTACCTTTTGTGCTAGAGCATTCTAGAAAGCTTCCTACATAAACACACCCAGGCTTTGACTGTTGGATGGACGTATTTTTAAAATAAGTGTAGAGGGCAGTTTGGGTTATTCTTAGTCTTTTGCACTATTAACAGGGCTGCAAAGAATACCTTTGTGCATCCGCCTTGGCATAAATATTGAGGTGGATTTAAAATAAACGCCTGGAAGTGAGTGAATTAGTGAATCAGAGGGTTTGCAAATTCTGGATTTAATGGGTATTTCCAGAGAAGTTACAGCAGTTCACATGCCCACCAGCAGCATAGGAGAATGCTTATGTGTTCATACAATTCCTAACGCATCGTATCATCCAGCTCCTTGATCTGTGCTTATCTGTGGCTAGGGGAAAAAAGGTCTTAGTATAATTCTCTTTGCTTCTTTCATTAAAGTGATTGCTTGGGCATATTTTCATAGGTTTAAAGGCCATTTGTGGTTTGTGTATATTTCTTTTTCAGGAACGATCGTCTAGTCATATAAATTGCGCAATTTTCTCTTAAGTTGTTAGTCTTTTTAATTTGTAGTAGCTGTGAGAAATAATTTGTTGACTAGATAATACACTTCTATAGTCCAGTTTTTTTAAAAAGTGTATTGAAAGGTATATTGTGA